GGAGGCAAAGCCCGAGCACACCCCGGGTCTATTTCTGGCTCTAAGAACATTGGGCAAGAGCAATTCAAGACGAGCAACTCGGAGCTAAAACGGGAGGAGGAACAAAATGTGTGGCTCAGGCAGAAAAAATCCAGCGGCGGCCGTGCACGGGCAACGTCAGGAAAAAGGATTTTTGGAGAATTAAATACGGGGTGGCTTTATTGGGAAGATAGGTGGCTGTCCCTGCCCTGCTGTCACAGTGTCATTATTTAATAAATCACATTTATAATGACAGAGAACGCAGGCCCAGCCGGTCGGCATCGCATCCAGGCAATTATTGGGATGGAGCGCTGGAGCCGGGCCAGGATGTGCCACCGTCCCCTCAGAGCGCCCTGGCTGCCCTGAAACAGCCTCGTGTCCCCCCTCGTTCAGATGGGAATGCAGAAAACCCATGAAATGCAATTTTTTTGTGCTGCTTTTGGACTGGGAGCCCTCTCAGTCCTATCCAAACGTGGAGCCAGAGCCCCCAAATGGGGTNAGAAAACCCATGAAATGCAATTTTTTTGTGCTGCTTTTGGACTGGGAGCCCTCTCAGTCCTATCCAAACGTGGAGCCAGAGCCCCCAAATGGGGTGATTTGGCTTCTTGGTAACAAATTTGAGCCGTGGCCCCAAGCAGCAGATGGTGGAGGCTCTTCCAGCTGAAAAATGGGATCGTTTTATTCCCGGGAAGCACCGGCTGGGGGGAATTTAGTGGTGGATGCTCCAATTTTGGGCTGTTTGGGGCTCGTTGAGAATCGGGCGGCGCCACTGAGGTGGGAGGGCCACAAACCCACGGCAAACAGCCCCAAATCTGCAGGATCACGGCATCCCATGGATCCACGGCTTTGTGGGGTGGTCTGGATGGGATCCAGCATCCCGTGGATGCACAGCTTTGTGGGGTGTTCCGGATGGGATCCAGCATTCCTGGATCCATGGCTTTGTGGGGTGTTCCAGAGGGGATCCAGCATTCCCAGAATCCATGGCTTTGTGGGGTGTTCCAGAGGGGATCCAGCATTCCTGGATCCATGGCTTTGTGGGGTGTTCCAGAGGGGATCCAGCATCCCTGGATCCACGGCTTTGTGGGGTGTTTGGGATGGGATCCAGCATTCCCAGATCCACGGCTTTGTGGGGTGTTCCGGATGGGATCCAGCATTCCTGGATCCATGGCTTTGTGGGGTGTTTGGGATGGGATCCAGCATTCCTGGATCCATGGCTTTGTGGGGTGTTTGGGATGGGATCCAGCATTCCTGGATCCACGGCTTTGTGGGGTGTTCCGGATGGGATCCAGCATTCCTGTGGGGTGTTCCGGAGGGGATCCAGCATTCCCAGAATCCATGGCTTTGTGGGGTGTTTGGGATGGGATCCAGCATTCCTGTGGGGTGTTCCGGAGGGGATCCAGCATTCCTGGATCCACAGCTTTGTGGGGTGTTCCAGATGGGATCCAGCATTCCTGTGGGGTGTTTGGGATGGGATCCAGCATTCCTGGATCCATGGCTTTGTGGGGTGTTCCAGATAGGATCCAGCATTCCTGGATCCACGGCTTTGTGGGGTGTTCCGGATGGGGATGCCAAGCCCACGGAACGCCTTCGTCTCCTCACAAGCTGCTGGAGGCACCGGGGACGCCGCGCCAAGAGCAACAGCGGG